TCAGGTACTCTGTGCACTACCTGCTCAGGTACTCTGTTCACTACCTGTTCAGGTACTCTGTGATGACAATGACCTTAGTTACATGTACCAGTAAGGGTCTGTAAGGGTGGCTGCAGTATGTACTAAAGTACAAGGACAAAGTATTTAAACATGTACTTGTATGTCACCCTCTAGCTGCTGGAGACGGTGAAGCGGTTCATGACTCTACGAGTGAAGAGCGATAAAGAATACGCCGCTCTGCTGCTCAGCATGACTCAGCAAACAGAAAAACAGGAAGCTGCTGATTATGTCAGCACTGTGAGCAAGGTGAGAGGACTCACCTGTCCACAAGTCTCTCTGTCAGTCCTGGTCTCTCTCTCTCACTCTCACTCTGAGTCCTGGTCTCTCACTCTCAGAGTCCTGGTCTCAGTCTCTCTCTCTCTCAGTCCTGGTCTCAGGTGATCCGTCAGACGGAGGCCTTGGGTCGGGTCATGAGGGGTCACGCTGATGACCTGAACTCTGGTCCTCTGCACCGTTTGGCCACTTTGATCCGAGACAAGCAGCAGGTGAAGAAGAGCTACCAGAGTCTTCATCAGCAGCTGGAGAGCCACAACCACAAGGTGAGTGTTGTGAGTGTGTGTGGTGAATGAAGTTGAAGTGCGAGTGTTGATGGTGAATGTAGTTGAAGTGTTAAAGAACTGACGGTGGAGACCCCGTCATTGATGATGTTTTGTTGTTGCTAGGTAACCAGGACTGACCTGGACAAGCTGAAGGCGACGTATCGTCAGCTGAGCCGCGACGCTAACAACGCTAAAGATAAATACAGAGAGGCGCTGATGAAAGGTTCCTCCTCTTTACTCTTTCAATAAATCAAGTTTATCAAAGTGGAAGTTCAGATGTTCGCTGGAATTTTCTCGGGACTTTTAAAATATTTGTGATTTGTTTCTTATGAGTGCTGGAAAATACTTGTTCATTCTAAAATGTTCTAAAAATTGTCAAGCTTGTTGATTTCTTTGTTTCTGAATATATTTAACACTCTGGACCCCACAACCTGCCGGCAGTATTGAAAAGCATGTTTTCTTTAAAAAATCGCCAAAACTACAGCGTTTATTACAGCATCATATATTCATGAAGTCATGATTGATAGAGAGAAACATGTGACAGGAGACAAAAACATGCCCCAAAACTGCTTTGGTGTTCAGAGAGTTAATTGTTATTTAAAGTATTGTAATCACTGACTTCCTCTCTCGTCCAATCACAGGCCGGGAAGCGGAGCGAGCTCGGGAGCGCTACGACAAAGCGACGATGAAGCTCCACAACCTCCACAACCAGTACGTGTTGGCGGTCTGCGGCGCTCGAACGCAGCAAGACGAACACCGACGACATGCCGCTCCGGCTCTGCTGGACGCTCTGCAGAGGATGCAGGAGGACATGACGCTCGCTCTGTGAGTCACATGACCTCCTGATGACGCTGACGCAGGAAACGAGCAGCCCATAATAATAATAATAATAACAACTTTATTTATCTTTAAAAACAGTTTACAAGTAAGCAAAATCAACAAATAAAATAAATTAATAATAATAACATTTTAGTTTACAAAGCAGCAAAAGCAAGACAATAATATCAACACCAGAAAGCTCAGTGAGGCAGTGATACAAATAAAATAAAAATATTTAGTCAAATATAAACATAGAATAAAAGGAGAAGTGATGACATCACATAGAGCCAGTCTGTAAGAAGTGATTTAAAGGAGACGAGTGGTGTGATACTTGTGTATCTGTGTTGTATTTACTGCAGTAAAAGTATCCTGGAGGAGTACTGTGAGATCAGCAGCCTGCTGACGGAGGAGATCGTCAAAGTTCATCAGGAGATCTCGGCGGCCGTCGAGCAGATCGACCCGCTGGCCGAGTACCAACACTTCATCGACGCCTACCGGTGAGACCGCAATACACATCAGTGGTTACCTGGGTGACGGCGTGGGTTGCCGTGGTAACAGTGTCTGCCCCCCCACCCTCAGGTCTCCGGAGACTCAGGAGGCGAGCGTGGAGTTCGATGCGTCTCTATTGGACGAGACGGACAACTTGCCGGCCAATGAGATCCTCTGGAACACGCTGACTGCCGACAACCTGCAAGCTATGTGAGCTCCTTCAAAATAAAAGACTCTTGTACGTCGTAGTGTCACTTTCTATGTTTTTTGTCGTAAATGTTCATAATTTTTTGTGTTTCCGTGGTTTCTCTCCAGGTTATCGTCGGCATCGGAGGAGTTATCGTTGACTCAGCAGAATCTGAGGACGAAGGAGGCGATGGCCGACGATCTGGATACAAAAATACAGACGAGTCAGCAGAACACAGAGAGGAAGAGCGAGTGAGTCAGAAGATGAAGAATCGGATGAATTGATGAGAATAATCTGTCTCTCTGTCTGTCTCTGTTTGTGTTTCTGTCTCTCTGTTTCTGTCTCTCTGTCTCTCTCTCTCTCTCTGTCTCTCTCTCTGTCTCTGTCTCTCTGACTCTCTCTGTCTCTCTGTCTCTCTGACTCTGTCTCTCTGACTGTCTCTGTCTCTCTGTCTCTCTGTCTCTGTCTCTCTGACTGTCTCTGTCTCTCTGTCTCTCTGACTGTCTCTGTCTCTCTGTCTCTGTCTCTCTCTCTCTCTGTCTCTCTCTGTCCCTGTCTCTCTCTCTGTCTCTCTCTCTGTCTCTGTTTCTGTCTCTCTGTCTCTCTCTGACTGTCTGTGTTTCTCTCTCTCTCTCTCTGTTTTTGTCTCTCTCTTGTCTCTGTCTCTCTGACTGTCTGTGTTTCTGTTTTTGTCTCTCTCTCTGTCTCTGTCTCTCTGACTGTCTGTGTTTCTCTCTCTCTCTCTCTGTCTCTGTCTCTCTGACTGTCTGTGTTTCTCTCTCTCTCTCTGTCTCTGTCTCTCTCTTTCTGTCTCTGTGTCTCTCTGTCTCTCTCTCTCTCTCTCCCTCTCTCTCTGACTGTCTGTGTCTCTCGTCCTCAGCTGTGTCCTACTGCTCAGTCAGAAACTCTCTGTCCTCGAGCTTCATCACGCCGTCCAATCGCTGCGCGGCTCCGAGGCCCGCCTCGCCTCCCAGAAGGCCTTGCTGGACGACAAGATGGCCGCCGCCGCCTCCCCGCCCCCGCCGCCGTCTCCCCCCGCGCTGCCGTACGAGGACGACGCCCGCTCCGTCGGATCCACTGTAAATATTTAGTTATTGATTGTTGATTATGTCTAATCTGCACACCAGCAGGAAAAATTGCCCTTTCAAAATAAAGCCATTGTTCCTTGACAGACTCTAAACCTTTAACATCACCTGGTGGTATTGATCTGTACTGACCCCCTCACAGTTTACCGTTAACCATCACAGTGTAAATAAAGTTGTACTGACTCAGTAGAACATGTGTTTCTAGTCTCTGATCTCTGATCATGTTTCATTGTAAACAACCAATCAGAGGAGAGCTAGTAACGTTAGCAGCACCGCTAACGGCTAACCAACAG